GGTGAAACCCTATCTCTTATTTAAAAAAAAAAAAAAAAAAAAAAGGGAGACTTAGCCGCACATGGTGCCTGCGCCTGTAGGGGTTGGGGGCAGGGTGGTGGGGGTGGGATCACTTGAGCCCACCCAGGAGGCGTAGGTTGCAGTGAGCTCAGAATTTGCCATTGCACTTCAGCCTGGGTGACAGGGGAAAGCCCTGTGTCAAAAAAAAAAAAGAAGAATGAATAATGGTTTGCTTTTTCTTTCCTCTTAGATATCATGTTTGGGTATTACTACAAATGAAAGAATGAATGCCAGAAGATATAAGCACTTTAAAGTCACAACAACGTCTATTGAAAGCCCATTCAAGTACGTACATATTTATAAATTTAATATTTTCCCTGGTCATAAACATTTTCTTACCAGACTCTTAGTGATATGTAAAATAGCTTTTAAGCCTTTTTAAGATTTTTGTAGAAATAGCATCAGTTCACCATAACACCAAAACAGAATTCATCACATTAACTATATATAATAAAGTTGTGATATCTCCTTATATATTTTTTTTCTTTTTAATTTTAAATTTGTATTCAGTCTGGTGCTTAGAAATAGTAGGGTCCTAAGTATACGAAATGTTTAAAACTTTGAGTTTTACTGAAGTTATTACCAACTCTTTAGCTTTTGTGGTGCTGTTGATTATGGCATACTTCTGGAAAGCAAGCAGACCTTTAAATAAAAACAGAGTTAGTTGGGTAGTTTTGAGAATTCTCCCATAGGTACAAAAATTATATAAGGCATAAAACTGTCTGCTTTTCTTTTTTTTTTTTAGACAGAGTCTTGCTCTGTCACCCAGGCTGGAATGCAGTAGCGCGATCTCGGCTCACTGCAACCTCCACCTCCTAGGTTTAAGCAGTTCTCTGCCTCAGCCTCCCAAGTAGCTGGGATTACAGGAGTGCACCATGCCCAGCTAGTTTTTGTGTTTTTAGTAGAGATGAGGTTTCATCATCTTGGCCAAGTTGGTCCTGAACTACTGACCTCGTGATCCACCTGCCTCAGCTTCCCAAAGTGCTGGGATTACCAACATGAGCCACTGGTGCACACCCGGCCAAAACTGACTGCTTTTCTAAAGGTGGTACTGGAGTACTAACATTTCGTGAACTTATCCTTGGCATTTCTTTTTTAAGTTGTTATCCTTAAGTTCACTGCCAAATTCATGCTATTTATAGTTATTTTGTCTTTTTTTTTTTAAATTTCTGTTTTAGAAGTAGTTTGTCTCCTGCCAAAGAGCCACTACTTAAAGGTTTTTATCAAAAATTGCATTTGGAGCCAGGCATGTTAGGGCATGCCTGTAGTCCCAGCTCCTTGGGAGGCTGAGGTGAGAGGATTGCTTGAGCCCAGAGTTCGAGGCCAGGCTGGGCAACATAGTAAGACCTCATCTCTAAAAATAAAAATAAAAATAAAAATGCATGTAACACAGGAAATATATGCACATTTGAATAAGTTTAAAATATAATTGTGTCTTTAAATTAGCAAAAGAAAAAATCGTTGGCAGAGCAGTGGAGAAACATGAAGGCATATATATTTTATAGTTATAAATTGGTTCCTTCTTGCAAGTAACCTGAGTTTTTAAGTTTAGAAAAAAATCTATTTAACACGAAAATTATATTGAATTCATGTATTAAATCATTTGTACTGACTGCTGTGTTTTCTTTTTGGGGTGCCATTTTTAGCCACGGATGTGTAAGGAATATTATAGACTTCTTTGAATTTCGATGCTGTGGCCTCTTTCGTCCTGTTATCGTGGACTGGACCAGGCAGTATACAATAGAATATGACCAAATATCGGGATCTGGGTACCAGCTGGTGTAGCAACATCTTTATCCTATGAAGCATATTGCTGAGTGGTGCCTGAAAATTGTGTCTGTCCGTGTCTCTCTCACACTCGAATCCACATCCTTTGAACAAGAGCATGCTATGTGTAGGGCTAACGGTGAATTTTACAGTCTTTTTTTCAACACTTTTATTAACAAAAGTAAACATGGACAGAACACACTGCCATTTCTGGGAAGAGTAAAGATGATAAAAATAATTTTAATGGTTCTTAATGTGGAAATTCACAACATACTCAACTTTTGGGTTTTGTTCTCACAGTATTTTTCACAAAAAAGGTAAACTTACTCTGTTGACAGACATGGTGTACTGATCAGAAATGTTCAGTTTTAACTAAAACTAAATTTATGTTATTTGGCTAAATGTTATGATGCAGTCTAGTAGGAGTATTGCATCTAATTCCAGGAGCATTGTTTTAAGTTGATTGACTAGTATTATGTACATTTTAGAATGTACACATAAATACTGTGATGAATATCATGTGATTGGGATCTACTGTGATGTTGTCTTCAAAGGCAGGAGAAAATAATGTTCACAATAAAATGTGCTAACAATGTTTTGTTCCTATCAGCTGTTGCAAATGCTGATATATTTCTAGTTCAGTGAAATAATTTGTAGTAACCTTGCTCTGAGGTTTTACGGTCTGATAATGAAACACTTGCATGAGTATAGTAAGTCATGTTATTTTGTTCAAATTTAAAAGCCCTACTAAGTGCATGATACACCACATAGAATGTATACTAGCAGATACTATCCAGTGGAGCATAAATTAGAATTTAATTTGATGTTCAAAAACAGTTCCATTTTTAACAGTTAACGTGGTATTTTCAAGAAAAGGCAGAATAATGCAAAA